CGGGAGTTTCCACGAGCTCGCGGGTGCGCGGCTGGGCATGTGGGCGCGGGAAGGTGCGTGGGAATGGTCTCAGTGACCTCTTGATGCTCGATTTTCTCTAACTTCTCGCACGCATCTCCGTTTGACTTGAAAATTTGACCCACGCTCCTCAAATCCTTTTATCTTCGTATTGAAATGTGAAAATGGGTGTCACCACGCAATTAATAAATACTCTCAGAATGGCTCGAAAATGGTTCGCGTGACTAGGATATGGTTCGGACGACTTGGAAGTTTATCGGAAATAGCTCGTTTCCCCAAACATAGTAATGATGGACCTATTCAACACAAAAAAAAAACAAAAAAATACGCCAAAATACCATAACACATAACGAAAACAAAAACACACGAAATACGATAAAATGGACCGGTCGACACTAAAATGGACCTAAAAATACTAAACTAAAACACATAAAACACACTAAAATAAGCACAAAAACACAATAAACACACTGCTCAATGCGAGAAACGAATAAAACCGGAGACAACGATGGCCAAGGACCAGAACTGGATGACGACGGATGCAGGACTATGCGGAGGCCCTCAAATAAAAAATTATATGTGTTGAAGCGTCCATCATATACCACCGAGCGATCAAATTGCCAAGGTCGGCCTAATAAAACGTGCCAAGAATCCATAGGCACGACGTCAGACTATGTCATATCCTTATAAGAGGAACCGATAGAAAAGGTCACCAACACATGTCGAGTGACACGAATAGAATCATCATGTTGAATCCACGCAAGAGCATACAGATCTGGATGCGACTCACTTAACAACCCAAGTTTCGTCACGGCCTCGTTTGAAATCACATTCTCGCAAGAGCCGGAATCAATGACAAAACGACACACTCTGCCGCTAATGGTGCATGTGGATTCAAAAAGGTGGTGTCGCTGGACCCTAAGTGGGGAGACAAAAGAGACCGACGAAGGACAAGCGCGTGGCTCACATCTCCCGAAACATGCACTTTGGGAACCTCCGGCTCTGTATCGAAAATTGGAGGACCATCGTAAGCAGCCGAGTCTGGCTCGTCAACAATAAACGCCCGTGACCTTCTTGTCTTCGGGCACTGTGCCTGGCGATGCCCCGACTCACCACAAGTGAAACACCGTGGACCACTAGACTGCCGATTGCCACTCGCCATCGTGGGACCAACCACACGGCCTTCAGAAGGAGCACTCACATAGAACGGTGCCTCTGCCGCAGACGGCGCGGTACTCGAAGTCCCAAGAGGCTCCTTAATTTGTAGACGACGCAAAAGAAGTGCCCACTTTCTGGTCCTGCTGTTGCTCAACCAATAAAGCCCGCTGATGAGCCTCAGAAACAGGAAGCCAGAGTAAACATATTCAACACATCCTGAATAGAGACACGCAATCCCCCAACACATCGGGAAACTAATTGATCCTGTAGTCTCACGTATATCAACCCGAGTGAGAAGTTTATAAAATTCCTCAATATAGTAATCAACAATACGTTGTCCTTGACGAAGATTTTTCAAACGCTGATATAAAGTACGAACAAAATTAAATGGTAAAAATTCCCGTTCAAGGTATTTACCAAATTTTATCCACGAAGTGATTTTTGATTTGCCCTTGACGTTGTCGCACACCCTGTAACTGTAACCACCAAGCGGCCGCACGACCACAGAGTCGAGTGACTGCAAGTGCAACCCGCCTGTCATCCAGTACACGTTTAAAATAGAGGGCAGTCTCGATGGCAGTCAACCAATCAAGAAATTCACTGGCTTCTAACCCACCGGAAAAATTCGGAATGTCAACGCGGAAAGAATTTTCCCAGCGATTAACTCCGTCACTCACAGCCCCAATTCTGCGAAAATGGCCCTCATGCCCAGGCCTACCAAACTCAACATAAGGGCTTTGGAACTGAGGAACAACATAATTATTAAATTTATTATCAAAACTATGCACAGAGCCAAAAGGAAAGGGATTTCCTTCGCCGTCTCCAAAATCACCTCCTCCATCCAAATCGACGTCGGCCCGTCCATCTCTAAAAATGGAAGGTCTCCGGCGGCCATCTTGCTGCCATCCGCGAAAAGCATCCCCGCCGGCAGCCCCTCGCTGGAACGCTCCATCTCCGCCTCGCAGACCATCGTGGCCTAGGGCATCGCACTGACCGTGGTGCTACCATCCGCGACCGTCGTCAACGCCGGCGGCCCCTCGTCGAAACTCGCGGTCGACAAATTGGGGAAACTAGCGACCTAGGGCTTCTCGCCTGTGGCCCGTTCGCCGATTGTCGGGGTTTTCGAAGGGCTGAAACCCATCTGGTGCGCGACAGTTATCTTCCACAACAGGGTCCTGAAATCCTTCCGTGGTTGTCGGTTGTCGGCATCTTGGTCACTGGCCAAACCTTCTGCAAATGGATTGATATCCGACCAGGCATCGTCACTTTCATTGTCACTGAACTGAGGGTGTTGGAACGGTTGGCGGGCTGCTCCACCAAAACCGCGACCTCCACGGCCATCGCGTGGAACCTCGCGACCACCGGCGACATCCCGATCAACATGCTGATCCCGCACCAAAGTAGTCAGTGTAAGACGAATTTCGTCAATTCCGGTAGATAGATCCGCAACCCGAGTATCCAACAATTGCATCCGATCATCCATACGTTGAAATCAATCGTCAATTTCGGCATCTGGTGCGCGACGGTTATCGTCCACAACAGGGTCCCGAAAATCGTCCTCCCGTGGTTGTCGGCTGTCGGTTGTCGGCATCTTGGTCACGGGCCAAACCTTCTGCAAATGGATTGATATCCGAGCAGGTATCGTCACTTTCATTGTCACTGAATTGAGGGTGTTGGAACTGTTGGCGGGCCGCTCCACCAAAACTGCGACCTCCACAGCCATCGCGTGGAACCCCGCGACCACCAGCGACATCCCGATTAACATGCTGATCCCGCACCAAAGTAGTCGGTGTAAGACGAATTTCGTCAATTCCAATAGATAGATCCGCAACCCGAGTATCCAACAATTGCATCCGATCATCCATACGTTGAAATCGATCGTCAATTTCGGCATCTCGGCGTCGTGGCGGCATCGTGAATCGTGTCGGTTAACTGGTTAACTGATACCAAATTCAACGATGTAGCAAAAAGCAAGTGATGGGAAGAACAGAGAACACGAACACGAAGAACAATTTCTTTTCTTTTCTGAATTCAATCTGATATTACATAACTGCCAGATAATGAAAAACTCCTACGTATTAAATATTAATACAAAGTCATAACCACCTAGACTTAAAAGTCCACATAATACAAGCCCAATACAATTTAAATATAAGTAATAATAATAAGAAACGGAATAACAATCAAACTAATGAAACAAGTCGATCATAATTGTCGGAATATGCTAATGCAATCTCGTCGGCATCAATTAGTCACCACTTGACCTCACACCCTGGAGGCTATTTGATTCATTTTGAAAAATATGAAATGTTTATGTAGAAGTAGGAAATAAATTATGTGAAGTGATGATTAGTTAAAATTATGTGAATGGATAAACAATATATTAAAGTAAAAGTTAATGTAATGTGTAAGAGTTATTGAATGATTTTATTGATTTATATTGATAATATCGAATATAGTAAAATTAAACTGAAGTTGAGTTCAGATATAAGTTAAAAAAATGATTGGTTAGAAGTTTAAATTTTAGGCTATGTTTAGTAAAATTAACTAATAAGATATCTAATAGCTGATAAGTAAATTTCATGTTTATAACTTATGGCTTGGCTGAAAAGCTAGCTGATATCATAAAAGTATTATGTAAAATTAACTAACAAGCAGTTTGAAACAAAAAATAACGCACTTATCTAAAATATTGCCAAAATAAGCTTGCGAGATAAGTTCAACATTTCTAAAAAACTCGTCCTACCAAAGCAAATTTATTTGTATACAAAAACTTATAAACTAACCAAATAAACTATAAGATAATTTATTACGCACTCAAAAATTTTCTGAACTATAGAATAGTTGAACAAAATTGGCGACAGTTAAATTCTTCCCCATGTTCTTTACCGTTGCATTTGATAGAAGCAAGAGCGAATCAAACCAAAGCACGCATTCAACATTAAAAAAAAAA